AATGTAAAGTCCGTGGCGCATATTAACATACACACGCGTCGGGTGCGCCTGCGTACGAAAACGACAATCGCGCTACATGTTGGGTATCACCACGTGCACCAGAGTGAGCGCAATAATTCTAGGGCCAATATTTATGGATATCTCTAAATCGATGACCTTTAGGGGTTTTTAAACATCGACTACGGACAATACGGGGTACCATATTTTCTTGTCATTTCACAGACGCATGCAATTTTTACCCTGGGCATGTTGGGCATCTATATAATCATCGTAACCACACCTATGTTTTACAACATGGATATTATATTGTGTTCTTAGACACTAAAATTACCTTAAGTGAATTTTTTGCTAAATTTGTGAGTTAAAGAGTGACGCAAATATCGTACGACATAAAAATTTGCAACTGCCACCATTTTATACTACAGGGTCTGTGCTTTCAGAAAATATATAATATTTGAGGGTTTTATTAGATATTCCCATAATAAAAGCTTAAAAAAATAAAATAAAAATGCTCCTTGCAGTTTAAATAGTTTTTACTTGGGTTAGGGTTTTGAGGGTTTGTTCAAAAAATTGCGATCCAGCGCAGTTAGCTGCTGAAACGCACTGTATCGCATACTAAACTAAAATATTGCATGCAGCATTTTTTGCAATGGACTGGAACGCTGGCATTGTTGGGCCACATGTTTTGGTGCGGGCGATCGCACTGTGGGCAGGGGTGTTTGGCTGCGGTGCCATTGACTTGAATACACCGCCAGGCCCCCTCCCGCCCCAGAACACAGGGGGAGTTTAGTATGTGATACAATGTGTTCCAGCAGCTAACCGCGCTGTGAAGCAGCCCTAAGGTTCAAAATTTCTTCTAGCTTTTATTTCCTTGAAATGTTAGGAGGGGCTGTGAGGGCTCTGAGGTGGCTTGCCCACAGTATGTTAATAAAGCTGATCAGATAAACACAATCCTCAAATTTCAGTCCTAAGTCTTTCTATAAGGACCGATCACAGTGAAAGTGCTAAGAAAACCTGGAATCAGCTATCTTGCCCGATTTAACAAAACATCTAAAAAGGGGAGACAATTTTTTTTTTTTTTAATTATTTTTCAGTATGCTGTGTGAACAGGAACACATAACGAACATATAGAGGGGTTACCTCAAATTTGACTACAAAAGTGGAATTACACTTTAAGAGCTACAGAATTGTAACATCTCTTTTGCTTAAAACCCTTAACCTGGGCAAAGTCTAGTAGAAAATAGTAAAAGGGTGACATAGTGCTGGGTCCAGTAATGTATTTTATTGCTACACAAGAGCAAAACGCTGTCCACAACTTACCGTATGGTTGGGTCACTATTTGAGGTAATCCATACACCAGCAAAATTGTTTGCATAGATTTTGTTTTCCAAGAACTGTCCTCTCCCTTTTTCATGGACGTATATCCCTCCTGTCTGGCCGTGGTGAATTTCACACCTGACTACCGTGGGATTGGCATAAGCTTTCACCTCAAAACCTGCTATTCGATTCCTATGGATATTGCAGCTTTCGAAGTAACCCTGCAGAAAACCACAGAGGGTAAAATTCAACAATTCTATAATGAAATAAAAGGAAAATGAAGTATATGTGAAAAGAGGCAAACCAGCACATTTTGTGTTGTGTACAGCAGAGGTACGATTATGAAGAACCAATCATAACTGCACGAGAATCTAAAAATCCTGTTTCAAATGATAACTACCTAGGTTTGCTTATAAAAGATTTACATTTCACCTTTAATTTATCTTGGCTGTCAAACACTTTTGTTTGGTTCATGGGGTAAAAGGTCACCTGAAGTGCGACAAATGCTGCCATATCTACTACCTGTTCTTATACACTGCACAATCAGAAGTTGGCAGACAGTGTCAGATATCAGGTATGTTAATACCAAATTTTATACCCTTAATACTTCATTACATATTAAAGATATAGTTAAAGGGTTAGCCAACTTCAAAATTATATTTTAGTATTTAATAGATGCTAGAGAGAGACACCTAACACGTTTTTATTTGGGCATTCAATTGGTAAGATCTCTGTAGCTCGGTTCCTGGGTAACCTGCTGTGACCATTATGAGGGGTTCCTATTATTCATGGTGGATTTTTATTTTTGTTTATATTAAAAGGAGAATGCAGCACGGAGTACTAGAACATGCAAAAGTGGACATGAACACCAGAGCTGAAACGCGATAAAAAACGCCCTTTCAAAAATCCTGCGGAAGCTGCGCTGAAACTTTGCCACTCTGGTGTGAATGGGGCCTCAGAGAGATATGTATATTTGATTTACCTAATAGGATATGGACAACCACATTAGACCCAGTTCGTGAAATCTAACAGCCTATTACAATTTACTGTCAGAAGATACTCACTTGATCATAGCCCCCATAGGTACTTTAGCTATATACAGAAATAGTGATATCTTTAGTATATTTTCTTTAACTGAGCTCCCATTCATAAAACTGCGATTAGCGAACATGCATTAACAAATGTTGCATTAAGGAAACACATTCATCTGAATGAGCTACTTAATGCACCAAAAAGGAGGTGCATGTAGCATTTTTGGCAGTGCACCACAATGCATGTCCATTGGCAAGATGCTTTTGAGAAAAATGGCATCATATCACACCAACACGCAGTACTGTATGTTTGCTAATGTACACAGAATTGATAGATTGAATGGGCCCTATCCTATATCCTGTCAATGGGAAATAAGTTACCGAGATTAAAACATACCATGCCATGGTCAAACGTGAACACGCCAACATCCCGGCCGTGGTGAATATGGTTTCTCCTAATGATGGGGTTGCCGTGATTTTTTACCCATATACCAGCTAATGCATTGTTGGAGATTTCATTGTCTTCATAAATCCCCTACAAGAAAACAAATACTAATAAAAAATCCTCCGTTACAGAATCAACCATTGAGGAGTTTAAAGCTATAACCAATATGTTTCTACAAAGAAATGTCAGAACTGAAGATATTATTACGAGAATTACTTTTATACATACAGATGACTTCTAGCCCCTTGACCCCTTAGTGACGGGAGACTACACTGTACGTCCCCGCCACTAAGTGCTCAAATTACTTTTCACGTACACTGTACGTGATCAGCTATTTGGGGCTCTGTAATGCTGGTAGCCGCTGAGAATCAGCGGTTACCGTTCATTAATGGGAGCCTCAGTGTTAATGGATGCCTCAGTATTGAGGCATCCATTAATGAAAGAGTTAAGCTATAATCAGACACCCGATTCCTTAAGATCCCTTTCAGGAATCTAGTGTCTGACAGTGAGAGCAGAGCGGTATTTACTGCTCTTGCCGTCTGACAGCTGGTATAGATTGGGAAATCCCGATGTATAGCGGCTTTTTTTTCTAAAGTTTCTGCAATAGAAACATTTAGCTACATATTTCTTTTGCAGAAACAATGTTGCAGGCTTGTGATCGTTGTTGGAATGATCAGAAGTCTTTAGTGACATCAGATTGTAAAATGCTATAGGATCAGTGTCACTAAGGTTATTAGTGGCTGTTCTTTAGTTTCAATCGGCCTAATAACCAAAAATGTATTCAATTATCAAGCAGTAATAAGGAGATTAATTCACAATGAAATGTAAAAAATGTTTAAAAAAAATAGTGAAACAAAGTATAAAAAAATAAAAATAAATGTAATAAAAATAAAATGATAAATTTTTATACTATCATTATTATAAAAAATAATTCATTACAGTGAAAATCTGCAGCTGAGCTACAGATTTGTTTTTCACCCTATGGGGTTTTTTGTTTTTTTGAACCCCCTCATGACAGTGATGTTCAAAGTATGTCGCGGTCACTAAATTACATCATATGCCAGGTGATCACTATTAGCTTTTAGAGAGAAAAAAAAGATTAAATGTTAAGTCTTAGGTTTAGGCTAAGAAATACAGAAAAATGTCTAAAATCCTAGGGATGTGAGGTTTTTCAAAATAAAGGACAAATTCATATCTTTAATGCATTTTGTTTAGCTGCGTTAGTATTTCTAAAAAATGCTATCAAAACTGGTGGAAAAGTGTTTTTACGTTTTTCCCTAATTTTTTTATATTTTATTTGTCCTACGTAAGGCGTTATGCACATATATGTGAAATATATAGCCCTATCTGTCCTCTAAAAAATATATAATATGTGTGGGTGCACTTAGTAAGAAAATATAATACTGACATGGAAGAATCACAAGGCAAAAATGTAAAAAGCATGTCAGCCATTAATGAACAGAAACTAAAAACAAGCTTAGTCATGAAGGGGTTAAAGAACTATCTTCTCTCTATGTTATATTGCTTCAAAATGATAGGTTGCTGAAACTGGCCGCTGTGGGATGCCATATACAATTAAGCTGGCCATACACCTATTGATATTCTGCAGATTTTCAATAGTCCGATGGGAAAAGTGCAACAGATTCCTCCATTTATGCAAACTGTGTACATCTGAGCAATCTGATTGGATGCAGGCATTGTTCAGGTATTTTAAGAGTCAGCGGGGCCAAGTAGCAAGATACTGAAGCTTGGCCCAGTGGGAAATTCCTCCATCCACACAGTTTAGCGTAGATGGAGGAATCTGTTGCACTTTTTCCAACTGACCACAGAAAACCTGCAGATAGATAATCTTTAGGTGTATGGCCAGTTTTAGTGTTTTTACCAAATTTCTTTGTGACAACAGAAGCGGTTAGCTGCTTTCCACATACCAGACACCCAAACAAATAACATGCCTTTAAGTCACCCCGTCACTAAATAAAGCAAACATTTATATCTGAATAAGTGCACCACGGTGTAAGACTCTGCTTATGCTGACTACAGTGTCCACCTGACTGGATATCAATTTAATAGATGTAGGGAAATCTCGCTGATCTAACAGATCAAATGTGACATTGAAGCTGGTCACACACAGATTCAAACACATAGGTCTAACAGGCAATAACCATGTACTGACACAGGCTCAAAGTTGTGATGTTTTAGGCTGATTTAGTTACTTCAAACCTAAACATCTTTTGTTTATGATGTTTACGTGTTGTCCACCTCTTTTACATTATATATAAGGCAACAGGAATTGAAAGGTTTTTTTTTACCAAGAATATTGAGACTATAGGGACAGAGTTTACCTCTGCATGGTCGGTGATATACAGTCCTACATTTTCACAGTCACTGATGTTACAGTGTTTGATGTTCGGACATGCCCCCTGGCCACTCACACAAACCGCAGAACCGACTGAAAAGAGAAGACAACATTTACCACAATATGCTCTATCAAGGCAACCAGGAAAATGACAGAATCTTACAGCCTTTGTATTGGCATCAAAATGATGCGCCACGTACCTGTGCAAGTACTGCGGATTATACAGTGATCAATGACTGGGCTGCAGTTTACTGTGATCTCTAAACAATGATGTGCATTATGGTGCTGGGCAGACTTGTCATCAGGGTTGAACTGCAATAAAAGCACATGAGAATATGACATTTAAAATAGTTTTATCAACAACTGCAATTTACAGTAACTGTATGCCAAGACGTTTGTGGCATAAAACACAAAACTTTCCAGGTAGTGATCTAAGTGTAAAATAGTAAAATCTTCCAGGCAGTGCATATTAATAGACTTGTGAGTGAGGGTAACCGGACAGAGACACTTCCTGTATAACTGATGTGACAGCTCAGCAGCAATGATCATTTTTAGATTATATGACACAAAACATATATCCCTAACCTACCTCGACCCAGCCTCAAAACTGCCAAATGATTTCGATCCTGGGTACAGGATATCTCTGCATCATGCTCTATGCTTAATATGCCACTAGAAGAGCCAGACTTTGGCAACAGGTCTGTGATACCAGAGGACATGTTAATTGGCTATGGACATAGATTTGGTTTCCAAAGTACACTTAGCCTTTAATTATAGAATAACCTAAAGTGGAGAATTATTAAAATGAAAACCGTTAACAAGTATATGCGGTTGCTGTATATGAGCACAGAAGCGTATTTTTTGTCCTCCATCTCCTCATGGCTCTGTTTCAAATGGCAGCCTATGTGCTTTGCAAGCAGTGTGTGTATATTAACACTCTCTCTGAGCACTCTCCCCCTATTCATTATATTCATAGTTGCAAGAACAGCATATTAAATACAAAGGTAGCTCTTGCCAAGCGACAAAATACAGAAACGCTAAAAAGAAATCTTAGTTTATTTAAAACACGTTAAAAAGAAAAAAAAAATCCTTACCCTGATAGTCATGTACCCAACATATGCATCTTCTGAACCCTCCATGAAAACAAATGTGGAGTCTCTAGTGTTCTCAATGATTACTTTGTCTGCAACTTTTCCAGGTGCTGTAAAGCCAAATGGAACAGAAAACTGGAATTGTAGGATACCTTTTTAAAATAGTTCAGTACGTTGTGCAATACACCATGCAACATTACCTGCGCCAATCATAGTTATTGGGGACTCTATGTAGATCCATTCATCTGTATATATGCCAGAATGCACAAAGATAAGCCCATCAAAGTGAGCTTCCTGGACACCTCCTAATGCATCCTCAATGGTGTCGTAATACTGTCAGAAAACATGAATAATATATTTAACCACAATGCAAATCGTATACCCTCTCTGTACATATAGAGACTGATACTTACCAGCATATTTTCTCTGCCTTTATACCTTGTGGGATTGCTGTAAAAATGCTCTGCAAATCCAGGTTTAACGTGAGCTCCTTTGTACTGTCATAAATAAAAGAAAATATTAATATTTTGCTAATTTTCAACAATCCAAAGAAGATTTTGCCAGTTATATCTGTGGTGCGGGTACATGCGTACTTTACTTGCAATTTTCCCATGGAAAAAAAAACAAAACAAAAAACACCTTTCTGTAGCCAATTTCGCACATTTTGCCCCAATGAGTGCTAACAATTTTTATCACTCTGACAAGGATGTGCCATACATATCATGGCAATCAAAGTGTTCAAATGTGTGACGGCTCTGCTGTGCGATATTGTTGATTCAGGTGTCTGTAAAAAGTCACCCAATGACCTGCATATATTGCTCGAGATGCTGCTCCAGCTCCTGAACACACGATTGCTTCTTGATAGTTAGTGGGGTCCAAAGCTGTGACAGTCAGGTTTAACAGGCAGCATTATGGGGCATTATAAGCAACCAGCATGCTAGTAATAGACTACAAATCTTCTGAAAAAGTATTGTCTAGAAATTGTAAATTCAAGAAGCGGAGAAAGATTACCGTCATACTACTGAAAGTGTGCCAACACCAGCCAAGTGACCTTCTGCTAAGACAGCAGAAGAGAAAAAGTAATGGTGCTTGTAGGTCATCAAGCACATGATCGCCCCACTGTACTGGGCTAGAAGAGAGTGGAATATGCCCCAGTAGACATACTCCCCAGTTATTAATGAATGAAGGCAGTGTGAAGACTAAAATGTTATTACATAGTAGATTGAGTTTTTATGTTACAATACAAGCTCCTTTTAAGCCTTTTTTAGTGCTCTAGCATTGCCAAGATGTGTATACTGAACAGCCATGACCTTTTTCCAGTGACAACTTATACCATTATTACACATTCTATATTTAGGAATCCCAACTGTAGATCTTCATACCAGTTGTTGAAAACTCTCCTTCCAGGGGTTTGGAGGTTCATACTCTTCAGGGTTAATCTGATAAAATTTCCCAGGTTCTGGATGCATCATAGGCCTTGTATACTCAAACACTTCCATATATAATCGTTTCCTGCCAGACAATGGGCAGAAGTTACTATAAGTCTTTAATCAAGCATGTCAATGAGTACACTTTACATGAAATTTACAAAAAAAAAAGCTGCTGTTTTATCTGCATGGCAACCTAGCAATTTCTTGATCTCACCTGTAGCATATTCCTGCATTCTGTGGACTCTGAGCCAAAGGGCAGTAAGTGGTCGAATGGGCCATAATTTTGTCATTAACCGCTCACAATATCATATATTTGCTTAATGACATCCAAATTGATGCCAATGCTGGGCAGAGATACAACTACAAGCACTACATACTGGCTGCTTTCGCTGCAGCCACGTGTGGCAGCTATCTTCAGGGCTCATCAATTCTTGTTCAACATCCACATGCAAAAAGATGTGAAGCTTCACACTGCTGATCCCATCTATTCATAAGTAATTGCGACACTCCATCAACGACCTCCCTCTGAAATGTTTTACCCCTTATTGGGGCTTAGCTGATTAAGCCCAGAACGTGGCAAAATTTATCAGAGGGAGGTTGTGTGTTGAATGTGTCGATCACTGTTGTACAAATAAAGCTTGTTAAAGCTTTACGGGATCAGCAGTCACGTCTTTTTGCATGTAAAGCTGGCCATTCACCTATAGGTTATCTGCAGATCTTCTATGGTCAGATGGAAAAAGTGCAACAGATTTCTCCATCTACGCTAAACTGTGTGGATGGAGGAATCTCCCGCAGGGCCAAACTTCAGTATCTTGCTAGTCGGCCCCGCTTTTTTAGACACATTATGCACACTATATATGCTGTATCATTCATCCCCATCGAAACAATTTTTGCTAAAAAAAAAATGCACCAAAGCTGCAGGATTCATTTTTCTATTTTCATATGCCACATTAAAATGCAGAGGTGTGAATGCAGCCCAAAAGCTGTGTGACCACTGTCTGTGTCCAGCCTTATTTGTCTTGTGTTGTCTGGAGATGTGAGAACAAGGTGGAAGAGTATGGTTGAAACTTATCAGCAGATAAGATTCTAAAAGACACATTTTGGTAAATGTATTATATACAAAATAGTACTAATCCCAAGCGTCGTAGCAGCCTTTTCTAAAGATTTCCATAATCAAACTTACCATAAAATAGGGTCATTTGCAAGTTCACTAAAGCGCTTGCACACACAAGCTGCTCTGCAGAGGTCTTGCTCCAATAGGTAAGAGAATATCTTCAGTACAACTTCATCTGGCAGCTTTTCCTGAAGGTATTGTTCTGCGGGTGCTGCTGTTAAGACATCAAAAGACAATCACATCGATGATTATTTCAAACAAAAGAAATCTGTATGATGGGGTTACAGCACAATGTCCAAGCACATGCAAGATCTATTCCATTAAAAAGATGATCTGATGATTGATGGAGAGGTAAAGTGATATTAAAGCTTATGGTTTTTTTTTTCTTTATTCTAGATTTTTTTTGGGGGGGGTTTATTTTTCTTAATTTCTCAATTCCTCGCTTTCTAGTGGGCCCGGCATCTTCTCCCCCTGCACAGCAGTGTGTGCTCGTTCCTGGCTGTGTCTGCAGTAGCTGTGTGCTTCCATAGACACACACACAGCCCTGCGGCAAGCCACGCCCCTGCTCTCTGCCCAACAGGTTGATTGATGGCAAAAGGAGCCTATGGCTCCTCTGCTCTCAATCTCCTCCCCTGCAACCAGGAGGGTTAGGACAGAGGATCGCTGCAGGGACCGGGGGCGGTGATTGTTAAGTGTGGGGAGGACGGGGGAGTCAAAAAGGTACTGGACATTTTTTACCTTAATGGTCTCAAACGCCCAGACTTGAATACTACTTAAAACAAGCAGCAGGAGAGGTGCAAGAGCACAGATCCACAGAATGGATGATGTAGAAGCAAAGAAGAGATGTTTTTCTGTAGGTCCTCAGGTACAGCTTACACTCCAGCAAAAACAGTGAGCAGCAGAGTAGTGAACTCACCAAATCTCACTCCACACACTTGTGAGCAATCTACACCCCGATACAGAAACACACCCCAGATTAGAGCACAGATTTACGCTCCATGGTCATTAAGGGGTTAATCTTTCAATAACCGCTAGTGATCCACTTTTATTTCCTAACCTAATAAAACAAACAGACCCAATTCTGTAAGTAAAAAAAAAAAAACCATCCCTATATAATAGTACATCAAGTATGGTCTAATATATATTAGAGCTCAAAAACAAATGAGAAACAATGCAGACAGTGAGGGTGTTATAGAATCTATTCACAATGCAAAGAGTAAGATCACTGAGCTTCATAAATACGGTTACTTAAAATCAACCAATCATGTGCCAGCAACATTTGTTTTGCCTTGTAAATGATTGGGTATTAAAAGTGAACAATCACATCACACAGACAGGAGAACTGGGTTAGTAATTTTACCAGTCAGGTCTTGGGATTTTCCAGACATTCTTGCACGCTTCGCTCTATGACCGAAGTTTTCAGTTGCAGACGTTGAAGCACCCTTTAAGAATGAAACTTTGGTTAGAGAAAGATTTGAGGGATACAAGCTAAAACTTCAACAGTGCACATCTATTATTCATATCGGATTTTGGTGGGTTTTTTCATTCTTTTTTTTTTTTGCTTCCCCAATTTGAAATACATTAAAACATATCTATAAAACATATCTATAAAAAAAAAAGTCAAGGCAAATGAACTTGCTGTATTTTTCTTGAAGACGTTTCACTGGACATCCGACCAGCTTTCTCAATTCAAAATGACTTGTACAAAAATTCTCTGGGAATAAATTGTGAATGTCGCTCCAATCCACATAATCTGTTAGTCACAACCAGGTGTTGATTGCTTTTGCATAATTGGAGTCTAGGAGGCGTTATTTACCTGCCCAGAGAGGCGTTAAAACAGCATTGTATGTGGCAGACAATAGATGCAAAAATACAGCAAGTCCAGTTGCTTTGACTTATTTTTTTATAGATATACCATGACCTGGATGAATGAGAACCTACACAGACATTAAAACAGTTTTACCAAGCCAATAAAATAATAAAAGGTAGAATATAGTGCCCACACTACAAAGACAACAGCATGTTTATTGAAAAAGACACAATTATTCGAACAGCTTTAGTTAAAGCCAATTTGATTTAAATCCGATAGGTTCCCAGTGTCAGGATTTTAGTGCCCTGATCGCCAATGGACTAAAAGGGAGAGATAACAGAATTTTACTGCTGTTTGTGCCTTCCTGTCACAGACCATATTTCTTCTATAAGTGACACAGGGAAACAGGAAGCAAAGAAAATGTTTCCAAGGGGTGCCAAATACATAACAGAAAACAAAAGTGGTCTGGCATTAGGCTAAGTTCACTCAAGAAGCAAAGGAGCAATAAAAACTGTTGGGTGACCAGGAATGTCAATCTGGTCACCCCACAGCACTCAGTGGTTCCTTCCACCTACGTCATTTCAAGACACAGCTAACAGGTAGAGAACGGATAACGTCTCACATTTTATGAGAAATGACAACTATAAAATTACCCCATTAATAAATGCAAGATCAATCAAGCTGAACTGCATGTTACCATTCTGAGCTTTTGCTGGTGCGATGTTGTCACAAATCCCTGTTCCAATTCTCAGAAGTATAGTGAGTGCTCATTGCTATTCAGATATTGCGCATTTATGAGTAGTAATAGATTATGGTGACCTTATGTATACCTTGAGAGGGAAACAAAGGGAATACAGCAAATGCATTTAAATGCAATCTGTTCCGGGGTAATGATTATCTTGCTGTAAAGGAATTGGTCAGGATGTGGACACTCTGCTGTAAATGTGATTTTCTCAGACTGTATCACTACCAAATGATGCATTACTGCAGCATTCCACTGTAACAAACAATTGCACATTTTTAATGCATGCATAACACTTTCTAGAGAAGCTCTTCAATGCACTGAATAGAGGACGCCGGGTTATACTCAGCAGCTGTGCAAGATTTTAACATAGAATTGTGAAAGTAAATAGCAGATCTTTTATTAGACTAGTACATTTATGGATTGTGGAATGTCAATTGATCCTCGTACTAGGGCTGCAACCAACTATTCGATTAATCAATGAGAATAGAAGTCAACCGTTCTCATTATCGATTAGTTGGGTTGGATCCACTAGCCCTCTCCTCCATGCTGGGAGGGGCGCAGCAAGCAGTGGGCGGGTGCAATAGCCAGCATGCGATTGGCTACTGCAATTTGAAATGGCCACCAGTGGGCTGGCTATTGCACCCGCCCACTACCTGCTGTATTTACATTCAGCTGCCATCTAAAGAATCTTGCCACTGGCAGCTGTCATTCCCGGGCTGAAGCTATGTGCTTACAATACAATTATAAAAAATAAAAAAAAATGAAAGTGGGGGAAAAAAAGTAATTTTTAGTTTTAGCCTGACAAATTGTGCTGCAGGAGGTGCGTTGCAGTGCCACTCATTTCAATGGCACCCCAAACACGCCTCCCCCCCACAGTGTGATCGCCCACACTGGAACGCACGTAACACAATGCTATGCATTCCAGTGCGTTTGCAGAAAACTGTGCAGGCAGTTTTATTCTGAAGTAAACGTTATGCTTGTAACACAGCATTTGTGGATTTTATTTTTAAGAAAGGTACTTATTAAAAATATTTTTATCTTATTATTTGAAAAAATAATCGGCCAACTAATCGATAATGAAATAAATCATTTGTTGCAGCCTTACCTTGTACTTCGCAATCCCTGTCCCTCAGTCTCACTCATCCTCTACTATATCATGCCTGCTGCTTTCCTCATTCCCACATTTTGTCTCAATGGCTCCTACGCACTCAATGTCAGTTTGACAGTCCTTACCACTCAGACTTGCATATTGGAAATGCTGGACACTTCTCTGTGTTTTATCATGGAATACATACTAGCATTCAACAAGTGAAAGCTTTGGCAACACTAGGGATGAGGCAATAACAGCATGTGTCACAGCTGGTTTTAGCATTTAAAGGAGAACTATGGGGGTCAGTGTTTTTCCCCATAGTTCTCCTTTAAGCGATTTGAGGACACGGCTGCCAGTGGAAGCAAACTGGCACAAAGTTGATGGATAGTATGAATGCTTAAAACATGGAAAACTACAAATTCCCACAGAGCTCTTACAGCATTTACCAACATTTACTATAAAATCACATATGTGCTTTGAAAAACGACTAGCGATAGAGTGTACAATATTTTTCAAAATAGTATCTTCTCGTTACAGTAAGCCACTAGTGGAACCAATATGAAAAGGGTATATATGTCAAATAGGAACCATTATTACACAAACATACTAAACCTCATACATCACCCATATTACTCTAAACCAGGGATGTCCAAACTGCGGCCCTCCAGCTGTGGTGGAACTACGAATCCCACGAGGCTTTGCAAGATTCTCACAGCCACATACATGACTCCCGGAGAGAGATGCTTCATGGGATTTGTAGTTTCAACACAGCTGGAGGGCCGGAGTTTGGACATCCCTGCTCTAAACTGTCACATGTATGTGCTCCTGTATCTAGTAGCTACTGATACAAGTTCTGAATACTGAATGCAGTAATAAGGGCAGTAGTACAACTACTAAACTGGGAGAATACAGTTACCATTAATGTGCCAGACCAAACCTCAAAGTGGAACTAAACCCACCAAAACATTTACTTTTTAAGGCATGCCAACCGTCAAGGTTGCCAATGTGCTTAGTTCAGCTCTCAACCGAGCTTTCAAGAACTCAAATGGCTGGTGTCATAGCTGATCACATGTGCAGCACCATGGCAACTGCAATCCAAATAGAGGCTAAGATGGCACCTTCCTTGGCTGTAAAGGGAGGAGGGTGTACTTTCACCTAAAGGCTGATCCCAATGCACAAATATGAACCATACGTGCTGTTGTGGTGATGCCAGACGGACGTGAAGGGGGCTGCCATGAAAAATGGTGGCCTTTAAAAGCATGGCCGAGTAAGACCTATCCTTACTGCATCCCACAATGCAAAGTGCCTTAGCACTGCCAAATGGAAGGTGGGAGGAATGCCTATGCAAAAAACCTACTTGCAGAAATGTAATATTTGCATAGGAACTCACAAGCTGTGAACTCAATGTCCCCTAACAAGCTCTGTTTACACTGCTGTACTACCGCCCAGATGTAACAAAGTATGTTTAAATCATAATATATTGCAGCTTACAAGTCCTCAGATGTGGTGGCTGCATTGGTTTTATTTTGTAAAGTTAAAAGTGCAAATGAAGCAAAAGCTTGCTTTTTTTTTTTTTTGTTTTGGATAGAACAGAGAGGGTAGAACCTGTCAGGGTTTTTATTGCTGTCTGCGACCTCACAGGGGAGGTTCACTCCCTCTATTTGTCTTGGTGACTTTAATCACTGAAAGTGAAAGAAAAGCCAACATTTTGGGTTGTGATCAGAACAGGAATAGATGGGAAATCTTCCATTGGGAACACCAATTATGGTGACCCTGCTGACCACCAGGGATTTTTCTGTTTGGAGGGATTTCTTCTAACTTCCTGTTGAGACTATCAGACAAAAAAGTGAAGGGAAGTCTCCCCAATGGGACACAGGTGGCAAAAAAGAAAGCCGACAGGAGCATAACCCTCTGCCATAGTCAATCCAAGAAGAAAAGGTTTTGCGTCAGTTCTACTTTTAAGTATAGTGTATACACCCATTAATCCTGTTATTGTGTCTTTTTAATTGCCTTTTGACTAAACTGAAACCTTGAGCACTGTTATCAGCCATCTTTTGTGAATTGCAAAGAAACACCCCTTTATGTTAGAGAGATGGAGAGGTGTTTGTAGTCCAAGCAGCAGCAGCCTAGGGAGAAAACGCTGCCCCTCCATAGATAAAGCATGGTGAAAAACTACTGCAGCCACTACATCTAAAAGGGACTGAAAAGCTGCAATATATGGCGTATTTGCTTCTCAGGTTAGAAAAGCAAAATGCAACCTTGACCTACAGCTGCTGCAATACTTTGAGGAAAGAGAGAATTAAAAAAGGCGCGCCTTTAACAAATCCTACTCTCCTCATTGATCTAGCAACTCTTCACTCGGTCTGTTAGCCCTTTCACTGCCATCGACATACGCCGTTACACAACTGTTTCGAGCTGGCCACATCAGTAAGCCTTTACGTCGGTGGCATTCACCCGTCTGCTATAAGCTCATGGTGGCTTTAGCGACCATAAACTTATGTGTACATGGATAGCTTTCACCAGCGGCTATCAAGCTTCGTGGACTACACTTAGTCATAAAAGTGTTTTTGTGTGCACGGATACTGATTTTAGTGTGCTTTTATTGGATTTATACCGATATAATAAACATTTGCGAAATTAACGCACAACCTACAAAATTAGTAGCACCATCTTTTTATTCTACCGGTCCCATGCTTTCAGGAAATTTATGGTTTTGGTTCGATCTTTTACAAAACTCTAAAAGCAGTTTAAATAAAAAAAAAAAAAAGGTGAAAGAATGCAAAAATGGTGTGGCCAGCTGAGGGCAAAAGTGGAACACAGGGCTTAGCAGCGAAAGGGTTAAATATGTCCAGCGATGGTCCACTTGGGAGTGGAGTGGCAAATTCCACAGTTGGAGCATTTGTGTGTATTAGCTGGTGTCAGCTCTATTAAAACTGATGGAATTAAAATCAATGAACATCACAGTTGCTTAAAGCTTCAGACATTTGTTTACTGCCATTTAATCCTTTCAGTGCCACCAACGTACGCCATATGTCGGCAGCAGTGGCCCCCGGCAGAGACGCGTTAGTTCACACGTGTAAAGCCAACTGTTGGCTTTACACTGGAAGTTATTAGGATGCTGTAAAGGTTCTCTGCTTTAAGGACATGTTTCAGGAAATAGTTCTGGGGGGGGGTTTAAATAAACTTCAGGGCTAAAACTTGCATTTTAACGTGTGCAAATAACAAAGAGGGTTAAAACCGTTTATTTAACCACCTCCATATATTTAAAATGACAATGTCATGAGAAAATTTGGGGGCTGCCACTGCTAACCAATCACTTACAGATATTTTTTTTACTGAGCATCATTCTCTTTAATAGCTCTTTAAGTCTCTGACAAGAACAAATATACAAATAGGTAAATCTATCACTTTTCTGACAGTCATTTACATCATGCATCTTTCAGGTCAGTGCAGCAAAAGTACGGAAGCAGGACTTATGCAGGCATTTTCAAAAGAGAGCAAGCAATGGCAGCTCCCATAATGTTCCTTTAACAGTCAATTTAACCTTGTTGTATGCAAAGGTTTCAACTAGGGATGCACCGATATCGGGTTTTTTTTTGGTATAGAGTACCGATATTTTGCTTTCGGTACTCGCTACCGAGTACCAATACCGGTGCTTCCGCTGGTATGGAGCCCGCTTCCCTGGGTCCATGTTGTTTGGCCAGCGCAATTGTGATTGGCTGGGAAACCGGCTTCCTGATTGCCCGTGAAGCCGATTCATGTTCCCCTCGCCACTGCCGGTCAGAGGAAATCTTTCACTGACCGGAAGTTCCGGTATCAGGGAAGGTATAGGAGCATTTGGGCGAGTAGTAGCCCAAATACTCGCTATTGGCATATCCCTAGTTTGAACACTAATTTGCTATGTATTAGCACACCAGGCAATGGAACTACACGGACATGTTTTAACTGTTTAAAATCCATGCATCATGGGAGTTTGTAAAGCAGTGGACATGCTAAAGTGCCCCCGCACTATATCCTTATTGTGACTTGAAAACAGATCCAAGATGTTTATTAATGTCATCTGTCAATCATCATTTGAAACAGAAGTGTTGCAAAGACATTGCTTTTGGCTAATTTCAATAAGATGAATGACTTATTTTAACTCCGTGTCTTTTTCCTGATAAAATGTTAAAGGAGAACAATGAGGCAGGGGTGTGGAATTTTTTTTTTAAAAAAAGACTTGTCCAAGGGCTAAAGCGGGGGCCAAATCTACTTGTCCTTCATGACAATCTACATGTCCCAATACAAAAAATAGTTTTAATCAAAACTAAGGATGCACCAATACCGTATTTTCGGTATCGCGTACGAGTACCGATTTTTTGTTTTCGTATCTCGCCGACACTGAATACTAATACCGGTGCTTCCGCTGGCATGGAGCAGGCTTCTCTGGTAATCAGGAAGCCGGGCAGAGGGTAATGACATCTCGCCCAGGTTCCTGATTGCCACGGAAGCGGGCTCCATGTTGTTTGGCCTGCTTGATTGTGATTGGCCGGGAAATCTGCTTCCCAGTCAATCAGGAAGCCGGGTGTCGAGTAATGACCTGATTGATCGGGAAACTGGCTCGATGCTGATTGGCCAGGATGCTGGCTTTCCAGCAAATCAGCAAGGAAATTTTCATCTGGCCGTAAGTTCCAATATCGGGGAAGGTATCGGAGCATTTGGGTGAGTACGAGTACTCGCCCAAATACTCTATCGGCACTGATACTAGTATCGGTGCACCCCTAATCAAAACATATTTGAATGTGCTAAATAGCGCTTCTAACTGATCAGCGCAGTCACCTGACCTCGTTGACCAATGAGTGCTTGCAATTTGCGTGCGAAATTCAAAATACATAGAGGAGGACTGCGCTGGACAGCAGTACGGGGGACAGATAGTACACCCATACTGGCGGAGGGGAGGGATTGTTCGCCGAAAGGCAAGTATAGCCAGGGGGGGGTGGTGGTTTGGGAGAGACGGGGCCAGATTTCATCGGGTAATTTTTATTTTTCCTTATTACCTGGGAAAATGAACTTACCCTTTAATGCACATTGTGTGTGTGTAAGAGAATTCTGGCTACCACCATGGAATGGCGGCTGCAATCTCAAAGCACATGCAGAATGTCCTACGCATGCGTTTATTTGCATGCAGATGGCAGGGGCAGCAGGGTTTAATTTTTATTTTTTAAATCTTTATATATTTTATTTTTTAAACTTTTTTAATTTTCTTTAAATTTTTATTTACTTTTTCCACTCAATGTTCTTCCTATCACATAGGGGATTAAAATCCCTTATGTGATAGTTTGGAGGTGACAGGTTCTCTTTATGGAACCTGCCCTCCAACACAGAACAGCTGTTCTGTGTAGTTCCTGACAGCCGAGACAGGTGGCGCTGTGATTACAGCGCCACGGTCTCAGAGAACACAGAGAGCCCGTAGAGCAGACGTTCTTCGTCTGCTCTACGGGCTCTATGGCGGGCTCTATGGCTGAGCCGATGTGCCGTAGTTTTCGGGGTCCCCCAAAAGAGCAGGCGACCCCAAAAACTACGGCGGGGGGGGCGGGCAGAAACGATCGCCGCTGCTCAAATTGATACAAGTGGTCTGATGAGACCACTTGTAGTAAACGAGCGGCGGCGGCTCCACAATGTACATTCAGCTCTGCTTGTCCTGAGCCGGGCTAAATGTACATAAAAACTACTCGCCAGGTGTCCGAAACTGCATGTCCTGGGCGTGAATGAGGCCAGTGAAAATCACTCATCCTCATAGTTAGAGCCGACGCGTGACAATGAACCTGTCACACGTCGGCTCAATAGATCGGGAAGTGAGGGAACACATACCGTCACTCGCTCACTTCGCAATCATCTCCCTGCAGTAAGCGGTGACAGTCAGTCATGACTCCCTGCAGTAAGCGGTGACAGTCAGTCATGGCTCCCCGCAGGGACCACCCCCGCTGACTGGAGGAACGGACGGGGGAGGGGCAGGTACAGCTGGCTCTGCCTCTAGATAGGCAGAGCCCGCTGTCACTCATGCAGCCGAGTGGATTTCAACAGTATTGTCGGGATCCGTCCCAGCTGCGGCAGTCTCAGTATACCGCGAGCTGTAGCTCACTATAAACTGAGCTTTGGGTCACGGGAGGAGGTTAGTATATGTCCTCCCGTGACCCTTAAGAGAACTACGGGGAAAAACCACTTCCCCCATAGTTCTCTTTTAAATTTGTTAAATTCACAAATCAGGTGAATAGTCATTTTCTGATTGAAATAACATGTAACTATTAAAAGCTTTATTTTACAGCGATGTCAAAACAGCAATAACTAGAATGCTGATAGTGTTGGTAGCAATGATAGAGGTGAAATACCAGTTTTGACAAAAGCAGGCTAAATTATCAGCTTTCAAGAGATGCCCTTTAATTCCCATTTTCTCACTTGGTGATCGATCAGTATAATACAGCTTTAAAACATACCCTACGCAAAGCTATTAGAAAATGAAGATTGTGGTCGTGCAGATCAGAATATCCTTTACACCAAAAGCAATATAAAATAGATGCATGTGGAGTGTCTCCCCTTACCTCCATACTGCTCTTTGCTGGACAAGTGGTTCTTTTAGGGATAAGAGTTTTTCTGCGAAGTTGATATGGACTATTCTGTGCCCCAGGACCTGATTCTTCTGCAACCATGTCTGCAGGCACTTCATCTGCACATAAAAGAAGGGTTAGCAATTTTACTAAATGTTAAACCTTTAGTAAAGACTTTTTAAATAATGATCATAAAGGATTAAAGAAAATAAAAAACGGGTTTAAGAGCCGACCCCACTGCAAGGTTACTGGCCAGAAGAGCAACAACCAGCTTCTCCATAGCAAGGTCTCCCCAGTTCTGCCACTGTCATTAAGCCAAAAGGAATAGTCATGCCCTCAAGGTGGGTTTTTCATAATATACAACAAATAATTGAAGAGTCAAAAAGCCAGGACATCAGTACGGCCTCGTCAGAGGGGGCAGAGACACAACCTACTGCAGGAAAATATCATGTGCTTTCCTTTATATTACACTTATACAAACATACTATAATCCCAAATTCAAATTCCCTAGCTCTCTCCTCCACGCTGAGAGGAGGGCACAGCAAGAAGTGGGCGGGTACAATAGCTAGCCTGCTATTGCAATTTGAAAAGGCTATTGCACCAGCCCACTACCTGCTGTATTTACATTCAGCTGCCGTCTGCAGAATCTTGCCACTGGCAGCCGTAATTTCCTGGCTGAAGCTATTCACGCGCCATGTGCTTACAATACAATTATTGGGGAGATATAGAAAGGTGGGAAAAAAGTCATTTTTGGTTTCGGCCTGACAAATTCTGCTGCAGGAGGTGCGTTGCAGTACCTTTCATTTCAATGGTACCCCAGACATGACTCCCACCCAAAGCGTGATCGCACACACATTAATGCTGTGCGTTCCAGTGCAGCAATGCTGTGCGTTCCAGTGCAGTAGCAAAAAATTGTGTATGCAGTTTTGTCTGAAGTAAACTTTATGTTTGTGCATTTGTGTATTTTATTTTACATTAAGGGTTGCATTTCTTAAAACGTTTTTTTATCCGATTGTTCGGAAAACACATTCGGCCAACCAATCAATTATGGAAATAATCATTAGTTGCAGCCCTACTTACAACTGATGTATCGAAAAACATCCCATACTGGTAGAAAACTTTCCACATCACACATTTGTGACTGAATTTGTGTGTTGTCTCTAAATCGCCTTTAACCCCTTCCCCACCGATGACGGGATTACCCCGTCATGATCGTCCAGTTCATTAATGACCGATGAAGGGATGACCCCGTCAAGCGGTACAATAAACGCTGGTCCCTGAAGGGACCAGCGCTCATTGAGTTACTGCTGTTGCTGGGTCCCTCAGAGTCTGAGGCAGACCCTCAACACCAGATTAGGTGGTCCCATCCCTTTGATCACAGCAATAGCCCTGACAGACACAGCTCACTGTGTTGTGCAGCTGTGTGTTACAAACTCATACAAAGTATCTCTAAGGAGGATACTGTATTCTCCTCAGAGATATTAAGTATCAAAGGCCCTGTAAATAAAAAAAATAACATTGTAACCCCCCCAGTTTTAAAAAAAAATGCAATTTAAAAATAAAGTTATATATATATATATATTATATTAATATGCAATTTAAAAAAAAGTCTTTATAAATATGTTTCATAAAAAAATTAGGAAAATATAGTGCCGAGGAGGCTAAGATACGAGACAAACATACCACATTCTAAAATGGTTCCACACTAAAATGGTATCCTCCTTGTATTTTGTGACCTATAACTCCCAAAATAAACTGAAAGCCCAGACATGATAAACCCTATAAAATCAGGAAAAATAAAATGTATTATTAATTACTTTCTGTTAGCTACACTAATTATGTACACATTATTATTGACAAAACTGAACAATGTGTTTGTTTTTTCATTTTTATTTAAAAAAAAAAAAAGAATTTATATATGCACATGTCACATCAAATTAAAGCCCATTGTGTCCTTAAAAAAACAGTATATAATGTTTAGGTGCAATGCATGAGGAAGATGGAAATTATGGTTAAACAAAACACATAACAAAAATGGGAAAATTGCTCTGGTCCACAGGAACTAAAACATTTTCTGAAGCTGTGCCACTAAGGGGTTAAACAACCCTGCTGCTATATCAGTGTATAAGTGTAAATACTTGCCTTCCCTGCTAAACTATATTCCAATCTTGAGAAATACCCTGATGACTGTTGGGATACCAACACATCCAGAGGGGTCTACATCTGTGGTCCCTTGCAGCTCTCAATGGTTCCTCCCTATGACCTGCATATCACCACTGTATCCTGTAGTGGGTGAAGGTCTGAGGAAAAGACAATTGAGAGATGTGGGGGACCACAGATATAGACACTCCTTGTAGCGGCAGTATCTCAGCTGATTTTGAATTCTCAAGATTGGAGATCATCAGGACAGGTAAGAATTGACATTACTCTTTTACTAGACTTGTATGGTAAATTTTGATACAGAACAGGGTCGCTTTTAAAAGTATCTAAACCCCAAAAAAATATATAATATACCCGTTCTCTGATGCAGTGACTGCATTAGTTCTTTTATTTTTACCTGGTAGCCCTGCAAACAGCTCACTTTCTGACCCTTCAGGTCTACACTGATTACTTCACTTTATCTATGGGAGCAGCCATGGATATTACACAGTATGGATTTGGAAAATGTCCACTTGTGTTCATCTTTATTACAAGGTAGATTAATAGGACTAATAAGTTTAAATAATAAAGATAATGTTGTGTTTGTCTTTTAAGCTCACAGGAAGTGACAAGGACACGACGTTTGTCAAGATCAACAGATTTCGTTTTTACTTGCTAAAAATGGGAATGTTTAGAAACACTGTTGGGCTTTATACTGCTGCTATCCAGGGCTCCATTAGAGAGATTTCACCTCACTATCTATTCCAAGGACAACTTTTTACTAGACAGGAAGCACGCTACCAGAAAAGAAAAAAAAGTTTTGATTATAGATTCAATAAAGTTCCAGTAAAAAGACAGCAAATGTCCATAAATATAACTTCTCCCCATTATAAAGTGATCTTTTGGAAACCTAACAATAGAATGTTCATTGCCGCACCTACTTACATAGTTTTATATACAGTTATAGCTAAAGAACAAGCCTGCTGAATCACTAAGAATGGATATTGTGCAATATTTTGATATCCTAAACAACAACCAAACCATAAGCATACTGAAAGCAGAATTTCTACAATAAAACAATACAAGCATACCATGGCCATGCACAATATTACCACTTGGCAGAAACTAAACCTTATTTACGACATTACAGCATCAACTAGCGTTTACAAAACTGGTCACTTAACATCTTGGTGCCTGAAAATATTTTTTTAAAGAACGGTTCTAATACTGTAATATGTATAATTTCCAATGACAAGGGACTTTTGGTTTCAAAATTAGAAGTAAGAAATCTGTGATAAAAAAGCAACAATCCTAAAGAGTTTTAAATCAGGGCTGGACAATTAGGAACTTCAGCAGCATTTTTAGAAGCCAACTCCATTGACATCAACTAGGAAAAACTTCAAAATTAGGCACCAGCTGTAATTTTTAGGAAGCATTGGCTGCCTTGGCTCCTGGGATTTGTCCAGAACGAATTGAAATCCAAAACTTTAATTTTGTTTAAAAGAAATAATCGACATGATATATAAACATTGGGAGCAGTGCTAAACAATGCTAGGGTAAGGAAGGGAAGACATGACACTCAACTTACTAAGCTACAATGCATGTGTTATTTTCATTGCCTCAACGTGCGGCTTATACTCTCAGTGGCTGTCAAAAAATGAATGTAGCAGAGTGAGTGAAGCCAGGTAAGCCCGATAGGAAGATGAACCTGTAAAGGTGCCCAAACACCTGGTGATTATCGTTCAATATCCGAGCGAGAACGGGTTTTTGTACGATAATCAGCCAGTCGATGGGAAGTGAATTATCACAATTACTGTACAACTGGGCGAATTTCCTCGTTCACGCTGAAAAACTTTTTTCTAAATCGTACGAAAATCTATGGATTAGGGTGTTTTCATATGAAGAAAAAAAAATGCGCAAACGAAAATCTGTAATGTCGATCAGCGAAATTCGGCCAGTTAGTATTGCTAACGGACAATCATGGAAATCGACATTGGTCTGTGCATGATGGGGTATCCGAGCGGAAATTTAACGACTGTTCCATGAAGGCACAAAAGAAATCAAACGATAATCGCAAGGTGTATGGACACCTTAAGAATAACCTAATAGCATGTACTGCAAATTGTCTAACTTAACTTTTTTGGTTAATTTTTAAGGCCTAAGTACTAGTAAGTGCTTAGTAAATTAGTGTGCTGGTAACTGAGGCAAGTGCATAGAAATGTGGGATGCACAGAATGTGATTTTCTAAAACTGCATTCTGAAGGAAGGTTTACTTTTAAGTTCCCATTTGCTTTGTCGCGTTGTAATGCACGTTAACACATGTTCTGTTTCATGTAAATGGGTTGCCTAACGCACCAAAAAATAAAAAATAACATATCTGGCAGTGCACCACAACATACAATATGCACTTTTGTATTGCAACATGTTCATTAACACGGAACCCTGGTCTGCAATTCAGAATGAAGGGAACCAAATCACCCCAATGCATACAACGCAACAGTGTGAATGGGCCCTTACGGATTCTAGTCTAAATGAAATGGAAACATTTTAGCATGATGTACTAATCTCCAAGCATAACCTCTTCCATGTCTGCCTACTCTCCTTGCAATAGGAGAGGACAAATTAAGAGTGAACAAATTAAAGCTGAACGTCAGAGTACAATGTATCCCATAGTTCTCTTAAGGTTCACAGGAGGACATATACCAACATCCTCCTGTGACCCAAAGCTCAGTATATAGCTTGCTACCCTGTTTCCCCGAAAATAAGACCTAGTTTGGTGGTAGCATGTGAGGGGGAACTTGAAGAGCAGGAGAGATGGTATCAGCCTGCAGGGACATACTGTATTAAGGGGATGACAGGGGACTCCCTCCGACAAGCGCACTGACAGGGAGAACTCCAGTACCAAACTTCACCAACTTCTGTCTCCATGAAGACACTGCTTAATGTAATGGTACTGTACTGTAATGTGTACCGGTAAAT